AAGTTATTATTTTTAATTAATAAAAGGAAAACAAGTATATAGAATAGAATAGAGAGTTCTAGTGTTAGAGGGTCAAGTTTTTTTTAATAAATAAAAGAAAACAAGTATAAAGAATAGAAATAGAATAGAGAGAGCTAGTGTTAGAGGGTCAAGTTTTTATTTTTATAAATAAAAAGAAAACAAGTAGATAGAATGGAAATAGAATAGAGAGAGCTAGTGTTAGAGGGTCAAGTTATTATTTTTAATAAATAAAAAGAAAACAAGAAGATAGAAATAGAATAGAGAGTTCTAGTACTAGAGGGTCAAGTTTTTTTAATAAATAAAAGAAAACAAGTATAAAGAATAGAAATAGAATAGAGAGTTCTAGTATTAGAGGGTCAATTTTTTCAATAAATAAAAGAAAACAAGTATAAAGAATAGAAATAGAATAGAGAGTTCTAGTATTAGAGGGTCAATTTTTTCAATAAATAAAAGAAAACAAGTATAAAGAATAGAAATAGAATAGAGAGTTCTAGTATTAGAGGGTCAATTTTTTCAATAAATAAAAGAAAACAAGTATAAAGAATAGAAATAGAATAGAGAGTTCTAGTATTAGAGGGTCAATTTTTTCAATAAATAAAAGAAAACAAGTATAAAGAATAGAAATAGAATAGAGAGTTCTAGTATTAGAGGGTCAATTTTTTCAATAAATAAAAGAAAACAAGTATAAAGAATAGAAATAGAATAGAGAGTTCTAGTATTAGAGGGTCAATTTTTTCAATAAATAAAAGAAAACAAGTATAAAGAATAGAAATAGAATAGAGAGTTCTAGTATTAGAGGGTCAATTTTTTCAATAAATAAAAGAAAACAAGTATAAAGAATAGAAATAGAATAGAGAGTTCTAGTATTAGAGGGTCAATTTTTTCAATAAATAAAAGAAAACAAGTATAAAGAATAGAAATAGAATAGAGAGTTCTAGTATTAGAGGGTCAATTTTTTCAATAAATAAAAGAAAACAAGTATAAAGAATAGAAATAGAATAGAGAGTTCTAGTATTAGAGGGTCAATTTTTTCAATAAATAAAAGAAAACAAGTATAAAGAATAGAAATAGAATAGAGAGTTCTAGTATTAGAGGGTCAATTTTTTCAATAAATAAAAGAAAACAAGTATAAAGAATAGAAATAGAATAGAGAGTTCTAGTATTAGAGGGTCAATTTTTTCAATAAATAAAAGAAAACAAGTATAAAGAATAGAAATAGAATAGAGAGTTCTAGTATTAGAGGGTCAATTTTTTCAATAAATAAAAGAAAACAAGTATAAAGAATAGAAATAGAATAGAGAGTTCTAGTATTAGAGGGTCAATTTTTTCAATAAATAAAAGAAAACAAGTATAAAGAATAGAAATAGAATAGAGAGTTCTAGTATTAGAGGGTCAATTTTTTCAATAAATAAAAGAAAACAAGTATAAAGAATAGAAATAGAATAGAGAGTTCTAGTATTAGAGGGTCAATTTTTTCAATAAATAAAAGAAAACAAGTATAAAGAATAGAAATAGAATAGAGAGTTCTAGTATTAGAGGGTCAATTTTTTCAATAAATAAAAGAAAACAAGTATAAAGAATAGAAATAGAATAGAGAGTTCTAGTATTAGAGGGTCAATTTTTTCAATAAATAAAAGAAAACAAGTATAAAGAATAGAAATAGAATAGAGAGTTCTAGTATTAGAGGGTCAATTTTTTCAATAAATAAAAGAAAACAAGTATAAAGAATAGAAATAGAATAGAGAGTTCTAGTATTAGAGGGTCAATTTTTTCAATAAATAAAAGAAAACAAGTATAAAGAATAGAAATAGAATAGAGAGTTCTAGTATTAGAGGGTCAATTTTTTCAATAAATAAAAGAAAACAAGTATAAAGAATAGAAATAGAATAGAGAGTTCTAGTATTAGAGGGTCAATTTTTTCAATAAATAAAAGAAAACAAGTATAAAGAATAGAAATAGAATAGAGAGTTCTAGTATTAGAGGGTCAATTTTTTCAATAAATAAAAGAAAACAAGTATAAAGAATAGAAATAGAATAGAGAGTTCTAGTATTAGAGGGTCAATTTTTTCAATAAATAAAAGAAAACAAGTATAAAGAATAGAAATAGAATAGAGAGTTCTAGTATTAGAGGGTCAATTTTTTCAATAAATAAAAGAAAACAAGTATAAAGAATAGAAATAGAATAGAGAGTTCTAGTATTAGAGGGTCAATTTTTTCAATAAATAAAAGAAAACAAGTATAAAGAATAGAAATAGAATAGAGAGTTCTAGTATTAGAGGGTCAATTTTTTCAATAAATAAAAGAAAACAAGTATAAAGAATAGAAATAGAATAGAGAGTTCTAGTATTAGAGGGTCAATTTTTTCAATAAATAAAAGAAAACAAGTATAAAGAATAGAAATAGAATAGAGAGTTCTAGTATTAGAGGGTCAATTTTTTCAATAAATAAAAGAAAACAAGTATAAAGAATAGAAATAGAATAGAGAGTTCTAGTATTAGAGGGTCAATTTTTTCAATAAATAAAAGAAAACAAGTATAAAGAATAGAAATAGAATAGAGAGTTCTAGTATTAGAGGGTCAATTTTTTCAATAAATAAAAGAAAACAAGTATAAAGAATAGAAATAGAATAGAGAGTTCTAGTATTAGAGGGTCAATTTTTTCAATAAATAAAAGAAAACAAGTATAAAGAATAGAAATAGAATAGAGAGTTCTAGTATTAGAGGGTCAATTTTTTCAATAAATAAAAGAAAACAAGTATAAAGAATAGAAATAGAATAGAGAGTTCTAGTATTAGAGGGTCAATTTTTTCAATAAATAAAAGAAAACAAGTATAAAGAATAGAAATAGAATAGAGAGTTCTAGTATTAGAGGGTCAATTTTTTCAATAAATAAAAGAAAACAAGTATAAAGAATAGAAATAGAATAGAGAGTTCTAGTATTAGAGGGTCAATTTTTTCAATAAATAAAAGAAAACAAGTATAAAGAATAGAAATAGAATAGAGAGTTCTAGTATTAGAGGGTCAATTTTTTCAATAAATAAAAGAAAACAAGTATAAAGAATAGAAATAGAATAGAGAGTTCTAGTATTAGAGGGTCAATTTTTTCAATAAATAAAAGAAAACAAGTATAAAGAATAGAAATAGAATAGAGAGTTCTAGTATTAGAGGGTCAATTTTTTCAATAAATAAAAGAAAACAAGTATAAAGAATAGAAATAGAATAGAGAGTTCTAGTATTAGAGGGTCAATTTTTTCAATAAATAAAAGAAAACAAGTATAAAGAATAGAAATAGAATAGAGAGTTCTAGTATTAGAGGGTCAATTTTTTCAATAAATAAAAGAAAACAAGTATAAAGAATAGAAATAGAATAGAGAGTTCTAGTATTAGAGGGTCAATTTTTTCAATAAATAAAAGAAAACAAGTATAAAGAATAGAAATAGAATAGAGAGTTCTAGTATTAGAGGGTCAATTTTTTCAATAAATAAAAGAAAACAAGTATAAAGAATAGAAATAGAATAGAGAGTTCTAGTATTAGAGGGTCAATTTTTTCAATAAATAAAAGAAAACAAGTATAAAGAATAGAAATAGAATAGAGAGTTCTAGTATTAGAGGGTCAATTTTTTCAATAAATAAAAGAAAACAAGTATAAAGAATAGAAATAGAATAGAGAGTTCTAGTATTAGAGGGTCAATTTTTTCAATAAATAAAAGAAAACAAGTATAAAGAATAGAAATAGAATAGAGAGTTCTAGTATTAGAGGGTCAATTTTTTCAATAAATAAAAGAAAACAAGTATAAAGAATAGAAATAGAATAGAGAGTTCTAGTATTAGAGGGTCAATTTTTTCAATAAATAAAAGAAAACAAGTATAAAGAATAGAAATAGAATAGAGAGTTCTAGTATTAGAGGGTCAATTTTTTCAATAAATAAAAGAAAACAAGTATAAAGAATAGAAATAGAATAGAGAGTTCTAGTATTAGAGGGTCAATTTTTTCAATAAATAAAAGAAAACAAGTATAAAGAATAGAAATAGAATAGAGAGTTCTAGTATTAGAGGGTCAATTTTTTCAATAAATAAAAGAAAACAAGTATAAAGAATAGAAATAGAATAGAGAGTTCTAG